AAAGACAAGCCTTAGCAAATCCGTGTGTGTGGACACTCTCCAAAAATAGTTAGTTCCCTATGTCCCCCTCTATTTCCCCTCCATTCTCCCCTCCATTCCCCCTCCACCCCTCCTCCATCCCCCCTTCATCCCCCCCCATCCATCTCCCCCTCCACCTCGCACAAGAAGAACAAATATTTTCCTCTGATCTCACAAAAAGTTTTTCCTTCCATTTTGTCAGAGGGAAAAAAATTGAAGTTTCCCTAGATTCGCCACTCTTTTTTTTCCCCCAGTTGCTCCCCTGCCTCCCTCCCTACCTGCCATTTCATCGTGAGTCTGAAAGGAGGAAAACTCGTTAAGCAGATTTCATTAATTTCAAAATGCAATCATATTTTCCCTGCATAAAAGAAGTCTCATCAAAAAAGCTATTACCGGGACTCCTCCCACTCCAAACTCCTCGTCTCGAATGAACCAATGGGAGAGCTGATTGGTCGGGATGCTGGCCAATGGGGGGGCCGCGGGGAGCGGTCGCCATGGTAACCAAAAGAGACGATCAATGGATGCTTACTTTCTCTCTCTCTCTTTCTCTCTCTCTCACTCTCTCCCTTCTTCCCACTACCTCCCCTCCCACAATCCTCCCCCTCCGGGTGTCTCATGCCTGATGCCGATGCCTCCGGCGCAGGGGACAACCCAAATGATTTTTAGATTGCAACATTTTCACCCCACACATGATTGCGCCTAGGCGCCCCCTTCTTTCACCCCCCCAGAAAAAAATCACAAAATTTGGCCCCCCTCCCCTTAACTCGCACAATTTCCACAGGTCAAGCGCTCGTGACCCGAAGGATAACTTACGGCTGTTTTTTTTACCGGATTTGGATGTTTTTTTTACTCGTTTTATACACGTATACGCAAGATTAAAGTGAGAGAGAGAGAGAGAGAGAGAGAGAGAGAGAGACAGACAGACAGACAGACAGACAGACAGAGACAGACAGACAGACACAGACACAGAAAGTGAGAGAACGAGGGCACGAGTAATAGGACGAGTGAGAGAACGAGAAAACCAGCGACAGAACGAGAGACCTCGCGGGAGAACGAACGGGAGAACGAGTGAGAGACCGAGAGAGAGGAAGGGGTATTCTCGCGTCTCTGGCAATAGTGATGGAAGTTGGACCTAAATTACAATCCGCGGCCGCCTGGAAAAGACGGAGGACTGGCAAATAGATTAACCGTGTATCTCATTTCAGACTTCAGCAGGCACGGCCTTCGACTCCAGATTAAATTAAGCTTCCTGCGAGCACTCAGAATATCTTGAAGTGCAGGCCGCACTTTCGGAATTCCCAAGGTAATATTTAAAACTGCTGACGGACTACGCGTGTGCGAGTTACGTGAGGGTTTAGGGCGAGGGGAAAGGGGGTTATCCTGACTTGAGTGTGATTCATTCTCTCTCTCTCTCTCTCTCTCTCTCTCTCTCTCTCTCTCTCTTATTTACGCAATGGTGTTGCAATGTTATGAGTTCCTATCTTTCTTTACAAGCTAAGAACTGTTACCTACGTCAGCTCGTTTGGAAGCATTTTTATTATGAGACATACAAATAGGTAATAGGATGAAGTTGGAGTGATTCGTTGGCCAGCGATTTCATTTTGTCAACTAATTTTATTTCGCTAATGTCATAATGTTGTTCGAACATGCTCAAGACTCGAGTAATTCTAGGGATGAATGATCTCAGTTGATGTGATGTTCTTGAGAAATGTTCAACCAGGGTGAAGTTGCTGTTCGCTGCCCGTCTTGTTGTGTTGAAGCAGTCTCCTCGCTGACAACGAAGTGCAGCCAAGTGTGGTATCTTAGCAACATTGGCCTTGTACATTACACTAAGGCGACCCACACTCCTCTGGTACTGAAGGCTCCGCGAGAGATGAGTCATCTTGCTCTGTTCTCTATTCTGTCAAGAAGTTGTAGGTAAAATGCAGGCCATCCATGAAAGTGAAGTGTACTCAAGGTGTAAGTGCACTTGTGCCTTGTACAAAGGCTTGCGGACTTTACTGTCGAGTAGATGTGAGATACGTCTAAATGCTGTTTGCCTAGAGACCATCATTTGTGTTGTCTCGAATCAAATGTAACCTGCCATTGTTTTCCCCAGGCTGATATAGCTGTAAACTGGTGATTGATGTAACCGAGAGCATCTGGTATTTCTTCTCTTGGATATGTAAGTCTCAGAGAGCAGTTGTCTGCATGTGCATGAGATTCTGGGATGAGATGAGGAAGGTCATTGAAGTAGAAATTCCATAACAACGGCCCAAGTACACTTTCCTGTGGAACACTGACACCAATGGAGTGCCTTGTTGACGCTCTTCCATTCAATATTACTCTTAGAGATCTATCTTGAAAATAATCACTAAGGAGGCATAATGCAGAGCCAGTAACTAATACTGCTTACAGATTTGCCAAGAGCCCATAGTGCTAAATTCTGTCAAAAGAGCCAACTTTGTCAAGTGCTGCTACACAGCTGACCTTGGCTTCATCC